AGACGAGGAAACATGTGAGCTATTCCATGACGTGATCAAGAGGTCAAAGGTGTGATCATGAGAAGGAAGAGAAACTCAAGTAGGTAGAAAGCCTAAACAAGTAGAATTAAATGAGAGAGGGGGAAGGAGGTCGAACGAAAAAGAATTTATTCTTTCATTGAAGAATGTTGATGGGGAAGTCGCTTATGAAGTTAGTTCCACTTCGAGCTGCGAGATACAAAATTGAATGTAAACATTAAATATGAGTATGATATTTTTATAAACAAACACTCTTTAGTAATTGACAGAAAGCGAAATACTAGTATATGTACAAATTCGTGATTCCCCCATACGTCATAATAATTAGTGGCATTATTCTAGTTAGTTTAGATTCAGTTAACGTGGTAAACTGAGTACTTATTATTTGACTGTCATTAGCTTCATAATTGTGTCACTCGTGAATTACACAACATGCCAATTTAATTGATCGCAAAATCACATGTTTCCCACCCCCTGTGCGTGTCCCAGAATTTAGTGTCAATTTTTTTAGTTCTCACGTGCCAATTTCTAAAGTTTTGTTATTTTATGTATTATTATTTGGTAGGTCAAACTAGTTCATATGTATATGAATTTTTACCTTTTTAATATTTTAAAAATTATAAAACATTAATATAACTTAAATTATATATATATATATTATTTTTTTTTATCAATTTTTCATATATAATAGATTAAAATAATCCTCTTATAATTTATGTTTTTTTTTTTATTTCTACATCCTTATTGCATATATTAGATGATAAACCAGTATCACTATTTTTAAAACAATTACTAATTCTATTAAGAAAATAATAAAATTATCACTTATCAATCAAAAATACATTTTTCTATCAAATATAACATTGAATATGAGTCTGAAATCTATTAAAATAAGAACAAGCAATCTTTGCGAGTGATGTGTATAATTTTAAATGAAAATACTAATATAATTTTAAAATTTTAACATTGATTATCGATAAACATACCCATATTCAATGGACATTATATTATACTATTACTATTAAAAACGAAGCAAGTGAGAAATTATTAGATGGATAATAAGTAATTAAAAGTTTAATGAAACCATAAGGAAAAAAACAAACAAACAAACGTTTCAAAGTGGAACTTTGGATTTTGGAAGCTTTTTGAAGAGGGTAATAGACTAATAGTGGTAGAAAGAAAACACATGGCCGGCAGCTTTTAGCAGAATATCGTTTGGGCCCCACAGAGGCGGCAACTCGTGCTTCCATGTCCCATTCCTCATCTCTGTAGTTCAAATTTTGCATCATCACACAAAAATAAACTGAGATGATCTTTTTCGCATATAAAAGAAAAAAATATATACGCGTGCTCAACTCACACGACTATTTACATAATGTACGAACGTTAAATAACATTTTATTTTTATTTTTCGTTATTGTTGAGTTTGTTCAGAAAAAAATTACTAGATCCACTTAAATATATGATATACATACAATGTAATTCTTCAAAGGATATGTATTTGGCGCTTGAATGTGTAAAGATTATTATTTTTAATGTAGAGCGATAAGTCTTACCAATAATTGTGAGCGTTGTTGATGTCTAACTATCTGTTTATCAATGATTGTCGTTGATTTCCCAAGTCTGTCCATATAGATTTAACCTACTAAAACAACCATCACGTAGATGATAAAACTAATGCTGACGATATCTCAGGGGTCAAAGTACTAAGAGCACATATGGACTAGACAAAGAACACTGACTTCAGAGCAGATCTCTCCCTGAACCGATCTTACTACAAGACTAGAAAGTAGTCTTAACAAACGGAGTCATCTCCCCACATCAGCTAGTTTTTCACACTATTGAATCTTAGTGTGAAAAAGATTGTTGTCCAGGAACCGATTTCCACACTTCAAAAGAATAAGCCACTTGTACAAGTTGAGTAAGTTGCAGCGACACATGTCGCGGTGCAGTACTAGCCTCTAAAAGATTACCATGTATATCAGATATGTTAGAATATCACTTGTGAGTTGTCCCACATCGTTCATATATGGAAAATAGGCCCACCTTATAAGACTAATGGACTACTCCTCCTTCCACCAATTGGTTTTGGGATGGAACCCCGTTTGGGCTTCATATGGGTTTTTTTCCCTTCTTTCATGGTGTCCTTCATGGTAGTGGGCCAACACCCATTTTCCCCAGTTTCTGTCATGGTATCAGAGCCGGTTCTATCTTGGACCGTGTGATGACGTACCCATTGTTTATCCCCCACGTACCCGTTTATGAGAGACTGTTTGTAGTAGGGCTTGGGCTTTCGAAGGACTCACAAGTGATATTCTCACAAGTGAGGGGACGTGTTAGAATATCACTTGTGAGTTGTCCCACATCGTTCATATATGGAAAATAGACCCACCTTATTAGACTAATGGGCTACTCCTCATTCCATCAATTGGTTTTGGGATGGAACTCCATTTGGGCTTCATATGAGTCTTTTCCCTTCTTTCATGGTGTCCTTCATGGTAGTGGGCCAGCACCCATTTCCCTCAGTTTCTGTCAAGATATATTATATTTTAAACATCTCTCTTTCTATATATAGCAAGGTCTCGAGGCTTTAAAGGGGAAATTCATCAGATATTACGCCCAATATATATAGATTTCTTGCTATTTTCTTCATCTTCATAGCCTTCGAGAAGCTCATGTATAAAAGAGGCCCAAGAGTTGTTTACAAGACTTTGGGCATATCACACACATTTGTCAATACTTTTATTATAAAAATACATATTTGTTTATAAATATTATAGTTTTTAAAATTTTATTTTTTAGATTATGATATTTTAATTTGAAAGTAATATATCTATATTCTTAAAATATGTTTCCTAGCAACAACCTTATTGCTTATACTTATAGGATTTTTTTGAACTTATTGTATTCGATTTTTATTTTACAATTTTTTATTAGTTTTATATGTGTTTTATAATAATTCTTCCGCTCCATGTGATTTTGATAAATAGAAACTTTAAACACATGAAATTATTGCACAATTTTCAGATTTGGAACCTCAAATCACTTAGTCCAAGCAAAGATGATATCTTCATTATGAAATTAAAGCAAAACCAAATAGATCTCAAGTTTCTTTGAATTTTATGCAATCATTCAAGCTTGTAAATATGATGACGGACCTTTTAAGATTCTCTATCATGAATTACCTAATTCTCCACTTTAGACACTTTGAAATTCCCAAGAAGTACGACCTTAATTAATTAATTATTTAATGAGTCCAGGTTCAATGGCGGTCGGCGTGCCAGCTTAGAAGTTCTGTCACAGGACATCATAGTATTATGATTATTTATTATTGTTTTATGATTTTAATTGATATACGTACATGTATATTGACAAGTGTATACGGTGTACGTACGTTTTCTGATTGGACTTGTATAGCAAACACTAAAATAGGTCTATGGAGAGTTATTTGGCCCATGTGGTTCATTTTGGCTGGCTATGCTGTTATATTGATTAAAAATGATAAAAATAATATATTATTGCAATTAGTTGCAATAAAAAAAGAATAATATTATAGGTACATAATAATGTACATAGAAATGTACATAACACTCACATTAAGTGAGTCCTCCAAAAAACTTAAGTGGACCTACTGCATGTGAGTGTTATGTATGTGCTTAAGGCAAAATAGATTTCATTTTTCATTTTCTACATGTTACAGTTTTTCATTTGCTAACATTTTCTCAATTTGAGTAACATTTTTTTTTAATTTTTTGATATGCCCAATCAATATTGGTAATAAATTTGTTATTTTTATTTAATATAAATATATAAATTTAATAAAAAAAACTACAAAATAGATTTTTAAGAGATCAGCTCGGATCGAATCGGTATTTGTTGAATGAAAGATAGTTAGATGATCATTAGTTCCATAAATAAAGAACAAATAGATAATAAACGACTTATTAAATTTTACAAATAATAAAAAGTTCATTTATAATCTAAATTAATAACATATTATATTATTTAAGAATTGATAATAACATAGATTATTAACATATAAAATCAAAATTACTACTTGAATATATGGAGAGATATTAAAAAATATATATAGTGCATTCCATAAAGCTAAAATTACTACGTATTTTGGTATTGTTGTTACTAATTTTGTTATATTGGTAATGATTTTTAAATATATGCGCAAGGCATTATTTCAAAAGTTTTGAATTGGTAAACGCTGTGGAATTTGTTTGACATTAGTATTTGATCATGTGCATTTGTAGATATAAAACCCGTTTTTGTTTGTATTTATTAATTAGACATGTACTTCTATTATATAAAAATTTTAAGTTATTTTTATCATTCAAAATTAATTGAGATTTAAATTTTATTTTAACCGCAACGTTTACATTTTTTACATGAATAAAATAATTTATTTATTTGTGGCATATATTAAGAAAATTAACATAAATAAAAAAATTATTGATATTTCTTATTTTTAGAAAAAAAAATATGTGTCAATCATTTTTTTCTTTCAACAATGCAACCAAATATAACGGTTACAACTCTGAATGTGGCAATCAACTTTAAGTTCCAACATTAATCGTTACACATTTGAATATTTTGCTACCAAATTTAGAATTAGTTTAGTAACTAATCCAAAAAATAAATAATAAAAATTTATATATTAAAGTGTAACGATTTTAGCAAATTAGTGAGTAATTAATTAAAAAAATATAACTTCTTTTGAAGAAAAATAAAAATAAATTTTATTAAATATTTTATTAAATGCATTAACTAGTAATTATATATATATAGTTATGCCCTTCCATCAGTCCTAGTACGAAGACCCAATAAAACAAAACAATTGCTTTGATTTCTGTGTCTGATGAACAGAAGTAGTATTAGAAATAAAAAAATTAAATTAAATTAAATTAAATTAAATAAATCAACTACTATATACTATAAATACAATGTGGTCCGCAATTGCCAAAAGGGGACTACAAATATCTTGAGACGTTGTAGTCAGATTTTCTTTCCTTCTTCTAGCCTCTATTCTCCCGAATTTTAAGGTAAAATATGTTTTGCATCTACTTCTCTTAAATTCTGGCTTTTAGTAATAATTACTGTCAACTGTTCATATTTTATTTCAATGTGTGTTTCTAAAATTTATTTTTTTGGTTTCATTTTATTTCAATGTGTGTTTCTAAAATTTATTTCGAGAATCCAGTTTTATACATTTATAATTGCACATTTTCGTTTCAATAATGCTCTTTTGACTTTTCTTTTAAATTTTACTAAATTTTTCAAAACTAACTTCTTACAAACTTACTTAGATTTTATTGGGAAACAATTACCCGAGTTCGCAGTACAATTTTTATTTACCACTGTACATGCTTCTGAAAACGATGCCAAGGCGTATGATAGATATTTTTTTCGTTTAGATTAATTATTATCATGGCCCAAAACATTATGATCACAAAGAAAATTTTTCATAATATAAATAAAATAACTTGTGACTTTTCACATCCATGGCTTTGTAGGTACAATACTTTTCAATCATACCACTCTTTATTGTTGTGGTGCTATATATCTTTTCTGTTGAAAACTTATTTCATTCTAATTAATTTTCTGCCATTTCCTTTCTCCAGGTACTAAAAAACTTCAATATATATATAAGAAAATAATATCAATTTAGATATTGTTGCACTCAAAAAGTATACAATGGAGAAGCTTCTGAACCATAATGACAAGGAGTACTTGAAAATGGCTATGTTGAAGCACGAAGAAACTTTTCGAGATCAGGTAATTAATTCATCCTTAAATTAAATTTATCATCAATATTTAAATTTTCATCCATTTCATTTCACTTGATCAAGATATTAATTTCTTAATTGGTAGCTAGCTCAATATATACATATATGTTTTGTTTTTTGGTAGCTATACGAACTTCATCGACTTTACCGAATACAGAAGGTGTTAATGAATGAAGCCAAGAATTCACTCGAAAACAATCCTACCAAAAACGAAAGTCCCGCTAACGATGATGCGTACAATATTCCGGGCTCGATTGATAAGCTAAGAGTTTCTCAAGCTGAAGTTGACCATGGTGACTTGGAGTTGACCTTAGGCCCAAAAATCTATTACCAAGAGAAAATCAAAGATAGATTAAACAATCCCCCTTGGCTATTCCAGGCCCTTAGCATGAATGTAACTTGATATTTTTCACTAAATTTTATCTAGAATTTATGAACTGATTCAGAGGAAGTTGCATTGAATGGGATCTTTTTAGTATCTTATTTTGCTTTTTATTTTTATTTTTAATTTAACTATGATGTGTAGTATTTGCCTGACTGTTATTATTATGAAATGAGAAAATGTGGTGTCTGAATATGGTAACCAAATAAAATGAGGGCAGGGATTGCCCCCACATGATCAAATTAGATTTAAAGCATCACAAGTTGATTAATTAGGATAATTATATCCTTTTCTGGTTTATATTTTATTTCGTTTTTTATTTTATCAAATAAATAATACTTGTTTAAATATGACATAAATATGTGAATTTTAACATAGAGTGGAACTGGATATCCGAATCCGCATATTAATGTCTTGTAATAAAATATAATAGGAAACAGCTAGCAAATCAAGTCATACATTTGTCTGTTGCCTAATTTTTTTTTTTTAAAACTGAAAAATCATTTAAATAAAGAATCTAATATGATGGAAATTAAATCATATCAAGAATCTACGTGAGAAACTAAATGCCGTATCTAGCACGAGATATTGGTACCTTTTGACCGACCGTATGAAGAAGGTGATACTTGGTAGTACTAATTGGTACCGTCTCATGAATAAGCTATTGAATAAATATAAGTAGAATTGGTGAAATAATTTCACTTGTTTAAGCTCAAGAATAAATTAAAAAATACCGATTTGGTGAACAAGTTACCAATTCTTGTTTGTATGTAGAAAGTCAATCAAAGGGTGTAAGAAGAAACGCAAATGAAAAGAAAAAAAAAGGGAAATTGACATGATATTTGATTTAAGTGATGTGATATATTGTAGCAATTATTGGTAACACGTAGAACAATGAAAATTGTTTGTAGCTTACATCAAAGTTTATGTGAACTTTTAGTTAGAAATTTATTTGTAGCAATCGAACAAATAAAGAATTACATTTTTTCATTATTTTAAAATTAAAATGTCGTATTTTTAAAAACAATATAAATGAAAATGTGACGTTTTACAATATAAATATAATTTTTTAAAGATAAGATGAATCGATATGTACATAATTATTAGATCGTGTCAGTGGTTAAATGAAGAACCACTTTTGACTCTCTTAAAATAAAAAAACAATTAAATCGTCTCACACAATAACATGCAACTATTATATTCTTGTAGCAAAAAACGCATTTAGGAATCTAAAATCAGTTTGTGTCCCTTTACTATTTTAATATCAGAGTTGCCCTTTCACTTCTAAATAACGACAGCTCTTATCTGCACAAATTTGACAAGCAAAAAGGTATGGCTGGAAAATAATCTTGAATCTATTATTGAGTAGGGGGCCATTGTACTTGGCTTGGACAGTTTTAACTCCACTAATTTATTTGACATATATTTCTGGAAATACCAAACAAGACTGGACATTGGAGGAATCTGAATTAGAAAAGTGTCTGAAAAAAAATAGATATTGCCATCAATGGGCAAGCTTGTTTTAAAATTTTATTTTGTTTCTTTTATCATTTTTCTATGATCTTCTTTTTTTACCCTACCACATGGAATTTTAAATTTCTTTTGCCCTACTCTGCTGAGTTGATGTTGTCTGCCATCAAATGAACATTAGATTCCATTTCCCAAACAAAACAATAGAAAGAGAAAAGGAGGGGTGATCTGCAACTGCAACACGATAATGTACTTGAATGCAATTTTAGTAAAGCTCTTGCAACACAATTATGTGAACCAATTGGTTTGATTATATGGTCCACATGCGGGCCATTAGACTCTGGACCACTACCTGTGCGTTTCGGCATTTCCTTTTAGATTTAGGTTTAAGTAACCGAAATCCAGAACTTCAGTTTTTGGCATTCAGTTATCACAAAACATAATTGAAAGATATATGAAAACTATAAATGTTATCCACAATTGTTTGAGACAGCTAATCTTCAAGCAACCCGATGTATGAAACTTTTTTTAAACAAAAATGAATTATATATGCTCTAGGTGACATATTTTTATTTATGGTGGGTCATTCTACTTAGGGGCGGATCTAGAAAATTTTTGTAGGGGGACTAGAGTTGTTATTCGAACAAAATTGTCTGCGAACACAACTCAGTTTGACTCGTAAAAACTCGAGCTAAGCTTGTTCTTATAATTAAACAAACTAATCTCAAACACTTAATTGAATTTATGTTATAACTAAATTGGGTCTCACTTTTTTCTTAAATGAAGTCATGTTGACCCATTTATTAATCAAACACAAGTTTAGAATATTTTTGCTTTACTCCACTTATAACACCCTTAGAGAGGATATATAATTTTTTATAACAAACACATACAGGGAAAATAATCTCTTTGTATATTAAATAGATAAAATAAATAATAAAAATGCTCTACAAAATGTATAACTTATGAATTTTTGTATTTTAAAATTTCCTTGAGATTATTTTAGATCAAAAGACTCATTAATAATTGTAATTTTTCTTTAAGGGGGCTCATTAATAATTGATTAAGTGTTAATAGTTCTTGCGATTACTTTTCGATGCCACGAAATTGCATATCTTGCATGCTTTGTTATTTCAATTTTTTTTTTCTTTTAAGATGTTACATGTATCATACATTAAATTTAATTAAGTCCTATATTACAAAGAAAAAACACCAAATATTATAGATGAAAAGTGAAAAATTACTTACAAAAATATAATGTACTTAAAATTGATTAATAGACAAAGCAATATAATAATTAGTGATAATTATTGAGTGTAGGTATAAATTGAATATGCTTATAATATATTATGTAGTTATGTTAAAGGGTAAAAAATTGATATTATAATTATAATGTGTGTACATATCAATCATAGCACTACATACAATTAAAAATAGCGGTTTTCACGGTTCTCACGCTAGGACTTAGTTCTCATTTGAACCAAATCCTATATATATATATATATATATATATATATACATACATAAGTTTGGGGGGGACAATAGCCCCCCTATACACTATGTGGATCCGCCTCTGATTCTACCGTCAGTTACCTCTCATACATATATTCTACCGTTAGTTACCTCTCATACATATATTTGATAAAAGACACCTCTTAAAATTATGGCACATGTTTTTTAATTCCTCAAATTAATATTTAAGGAAAATCTAATTTATTAAACTATTAAATTACTTTTATTTAAAATCTAGGAGAAAAAAATGGTATCACAACTTTACCTTCTTTTTGTTTTTGGAGCCAAACATTTTCAATTAATCAATTTTGGCGCCCAACGTTTCGTCGTTAATCATTTTAGATAAATACTGTCTTTTTTTTTCTTTCCAAAACGATAGAGATATTATAAACTTAAAAACCACAAATAAAGTTCGAATACAACGGGCAACACCCAACTCACCCACTAAATAAAAATGAGAGGACATGCGCACGGTGGCCTAGAGACACAAATCAAGACTCATAGCTAAGGCGGGATCCACCCGAAACCTTAGTCCACTAACTAACATAAAGCAACCAAACACCCACTGTCCAGAGGACCTAGCCACAACCACCTAATAAACCTTAGTCCACCCGGCTTGACTCGACGATGTTTCTTGAATTTTGACGAGTAGCCTGACAAGACAGACGATCTCCATTAGCTAAACTTTACAACGTTTAATTTTAAAACGTAAGTCCTCAAATCCTATCAATAGATTTCGCTGCGATAGGATCGAATTCGTTATTTATTCAATGTGCACATGAACTGACGTTCTTCACCAAACCAACAACTTTGCTAATCAAAGCTCATGGACATTAAACCTAAAAATGGGGATTCATGGCTCTGGAAAAGTTATCTTGCTACTATAAAGTTTTTGGGGTTAGGGGCTAGATATTAAGGATGGTAGATCAGTTGACATTTGGGAATTCTCCCTAGATTCCTAACATCCAGTCTTTCAAACCCTCTTATCATTTTCCTAGGGATAAATTGAAAATAAAAAGAGTGATCTTTAGTGTCAAGAGGGGATGGGTTTAGGATAGGGAGCTAGTTCTTCAGTCTTTTGATCCTCAGACTGCTCAAGCTATCGTAAGGATTTCCCTTAATCCTAAAAGGGTGAAGGATAAACTAGTCCGGCATTGGAATATCTCAAGGGTTTTTTTTTTTTNAATCAGCTTATGAAGTAATTTTGTCCAAATCTAGTGAAGTGGTAAGGTCCTTTGGGTATTGTAGACACCGAGCTCAAATTCAGCTTATGGGGAAGATAACCTGGAAACTTCCTATCATTAATAAAATCAAAAACTTTTTATGGAGAAGCTTGTACGGTTTCTTGAGTACCAGAAAGTAGTTGCGAAAAAAAGGGATAGGAGGGGATATGGTCTATGAGATTTGTGCGGTTTTGAAGAAGGATCTTGATCATATTTTCTTAGATGCTCAAGAGCCAAAATTTGTTGGAAGTTATTAGGGGGTGAGAATAGGATAGGTTAGACAGAGAAACTGTTGGGTTTGGGGACTTGTGGTTAGAGATATATAACATTAAGAAGCATATGCCATCATAAACAAGATAATCCTTTCAACCTATCTTCAATGGTGGCTCTAAAAAACTGGCCGCGCGTCGCAACGCGGCAAAATTAAAATTTATATTTTTCCTCACTAACCTCTACTAACTAGTAATAGTGGCGAGCAAGGGTCGATCCCACGAGGAGTGTGAATCAAATTGTGAAATTCTTGGATTAATTGAAATTATGAAAAACGATAAATGAGGGGGTTTGTATTATAAATCTAATCTATCTAAGAATGAAATATAAATAAGAAAATAAAAATAAAATAAAATAAGAGAAAGCTTCTAGTTCACGGTTCCGTCTACACCCTCAACCGACTCGTCTAATCAACTTCGGTATCAAATCTCGTTATCTTATGAAATTACTAGCCCTAGGCAACGACACGGTCTGTTACCCGAATTCTTCCTTAATTTTAATTTAACCGCGGGACGCTCTACGATTAAACCTGACTTCTTGTACAGTCCAGAAAAACGTTTTCAAGATTTTAATACAATTAGCCGCTTTACGAATTAGAAAAATAGGCTATACTAAGTAGTGAACTCAACCGCGTTCGCTCACTTAAATAGGCCGTGTTATCCCCTGTAGTTACCATCTTCCGGTTACCTCTTATGAATTAAACACAACAACAATTATGGATTG